AACTGGTCTTCACTCAGCGGGAACTGGTCTTCGCTCAGCGGGAACTGGTCTTCGCTCAGCGGGAACTGGTCTTCGCTCAGCGGGAACTGGTCTTTACCCAGCGGGAACTGGTCTTCGCTCAGCAGGAACTGGTCTTCACTCAGCGGGAACTGGTCTTCGCTCAGCGGGAACTGGTCTTCACTCAGCGGGAACTGGTCTTCACCCAGCGGGAACTGGTCTTCACCCAGCGCGAACTGGTCTTCACCCAGCGGGAACTGGTCTTCACTCAGCGGGAACTGGTCTTCGCTCAGCGGGAACTGGTCTTCGCTCAGTGGGAACTGGTCTTCGCTCAGCAGGAACTGGTCTTCACCCAGAGGGAACTGGTCTTTACCCAGCGGGAACTGGTCTTCACCCAGCGGGAACTGGTCTTCACCCAGCGGGAACTGGTCTTCACCCAGCGGGAACTGGTCTTTACCCAGCAGGAACTGGTCTTCACCCAGCAGGAACTGGTCTTCACCCAGCAGGAACTGGTCTTTACCCAGCGGGAACTGGTCTTTACCCAGCGGGAACTGGTCTTCGCTCAGCGGGAACTGGTCTTCGCTCAGCGGGAACTGGTCTTCACCCAGCGGGAACTGGTCTTCACCCAGCGCCAACTGGTCTTCACTCAGCGCCAACTGGTCTTCGCTCAGCGGGAACTGGTCTTCGCTCAGCGGGAACTGGTCTTCGCTCAGCGGGAACTGGTCTTTACCCAGCGGGAACTGGTCTTCGCTCAGCGGGAACTGGTCTTCGCTCAGTGGGAACTGGTCTTCGCTCAGCAGGAACTGGTCTTCACTCAGCGGGAACTGGTCTTCACCCAGCGCGAACTGGTCTTCACCCAGCGGGAACTGGTCTTCACTCAGCGGGAACTGGTCTTCGCTCAGTGGGAACTGGTCTTCGCTCAGCAGGAACTGGTCTTCGCCCAGCGGGAACTGGTCTTCACCCAGCGGGAACTGGTCTTCACTCAGCAGGAACTGGTCTTCACCCAGCGCCAACTGGTCTTCACTCAGCGGGAACTGGTCTTCACCCAGCGCGAACTGGTCTTCACCCAGTGGGAACTGGTCTTTACCCAGCAGGAACTGGTCTTCGCTCAGCAGGAACTGGTCTTCACTCAGCAGGAACTGGTCTTCGCTCAGTGGGAACTGGTCTTCGCTCAGCAGGAACTGGTCTTCGCCCAGCGGGAACTGGTCTTCACCCAGCGGGAACTGGTCTTCACTCAGCAGGAACTGGTCTTCACCCAGCGCCAACTTGTCTTCACTCAGCGGGAACTGGTCTTCACCCAGCGGGAACTGGTCTTCACCCAGCGGGAACTGGTCTTCACCCAGCGGGAACTGGTCTTCACTCAGCGGGAACTGGTCTTCGCTCAGCAGGAACTGGTCTTCACTCAGCAGGAACTGGTCTTCACCCAGTGCGAACTGGTCTTCACCCAGCGGGAACTGGTCTTTACCCAGCGGGAACTGGTCTTTACCCAGCGGGAACTGGTCTTCGCTCAGCAGGAACTGGTCTTCGCTCAGCAGGAACTGTTCTTCGCTCAGCGGGAACAGGTCTTCGCTCAGCAGGAACTGGTCTTCACTCAGCAGGAACTGGTCTTCACTCAGCGGGAACAGGTCTTCACTCAGCAGGAACTGGTCTTCACTCAGCAGGAACTGTTCTTCGCTCAGCAGGAACTGGTCTTCGCCCAGCGCCAACTGGTCTTCACTCAGCGGGAACTGGTCTTCACCCAGCGCGAACTGGTCTTCACCCAGCGGGAACTGGTCTTTACCCAGCGGGAACTGGTCTTTACCCAGCGGGAACTGGTCTTTACCCAGCGGGAACTGGTCTTCACTCAGCGGGAACTGGTCTTCGCTCAGCGGGAACTGGTCTTCGCTCAGCAGGAACTGGTCTTCGCTCAGCAGGAACTGGTCTTTACCCAGCGGGAACTGGTCTTCACTCAGCGGGAACTGGTCTTCGCTCAGCAGGAACTGGTCTTCACCCAGAGGGAACTGGTCTTTACCCAGCGGGAACTGGTCTTATCCCAGAGGGAACTGGTCTTCACCCAGCGGGAACTGGTCTTTACCCAGCGGGAACTGGTCTTCACTCAGCGGGAACTGGTCTTCGCTCAGCGGGAACTGGTCTTCGCTCAGCAGGAACTGGTCTTCGCCCAGCGGGAACTGGTCTTCACTCAGCGGGAACTGGTCTTCACTCAGCGGGAACTGGTCTTCACCCAGCAGAAACTGGTCTTCACTCAGAGGGAACTGGTCTTCACTCAGAGGGAACTGGTCTTCACCCAGCAGAAACTGGTCTTCACTCAGAGGGAACTGGTCTTCACTCAGAGGGAACTGGTCTTCACCCAGCAGAAACTGGTCTTCACTCAGAGGGAACTGGTCTTCACCCAGCAGAAACTGGTCTTCACTCAGAGGGAACTGGTCTTCACTCAGAGGGAACTGGTCTTCACTCAGAGGGAACTGGTCTTCACTCAGCGGGAACTGGCATCTTTGCTGAAGGCCTATTTTGTGATACTACTCTTAGTGGCTACAACTTGTTAGCTTTTGGGCTCAGACTATTTAATGGTTTATCTGCTGCATCAGGAAGAAACATCTTGATTTAGACAGAACATTTATGACCTGATCTGTTGGGATGATCTCATTAAACTGACCATATAAATAGACACATATAATTAGAGCTATATAAGCAAAATGAAGCTGAACACAATGATGGTAGTTTTGCCCTAAAATTGGTATTTATATGTGAGTTAAACATTCCAGGTATTGTCAGGTCTTATTGTCTTGCTATCATCCTCATATTCCTCTAGGATAAGAATAAAATCTTCCTTAATTATTGCTAAAAGCAGAGACCCAACAGAGCTCAGGGTGTGTCAGTATTAGAAACATGAATTTCCTGGAGGATCTGAAGTTCAGAGCAGTCGGCTCACTCTGACAATCACAGCTGGTCCTGTTCAAGGAACCCCCTCCCCTGCTCCAGAGTCCCCCCTCCTCCCAATATAAACATGCAGGTTTGGGTCTGCCTGAAGCCATCTCGGGTCTTTGGACAGAATGTGTGACACACTGACCTAAATCTGCAGCTGCTTTGTTCCCTGTGAGCTGCTAAGTAGAGCAGCTCCCACCTCTTTCTTCTACCACTCTGCAGGTGGTCACATGGCCCCCGCCCACTCTGCTTCCTGTTTGACCGTTTCATCACTGGGGCATGTGAAGGTGGAAGCCTGAGCCACTGTCTCATGATCCGGGGGGGAGGAGGCGGGGGAAAAGGGTGGACTGGAGGTTGACTATAAGGAGGAAGTCACGACATGAATCCTAGTGGTACTTTTCCAGCGCGAGGAGCTGTCTAGTTCACACTGACAACAATGTGTCTGTAATCAGTATCACCATGTGAGGTCAACTGGAAAGTTTAATCACTAATTGATCACACAAAGTATCTATGCCTGTCTCCAGTTTAACATCAAATATGTCAGAACCGTGTTCATTGCTAAACCCCTAATGGCAAAACTAGAAGTTATCCTCACATTTCACTCTTTGGAGCAGAAGATTAATAGCCTGGTGAGACCATCCTGATCTCGCGAGCTTTCAAGGTTTCACTCGCTAATCAGTCTGGAGACTCTCCGTTAAAGAAAACTTGGAGCCGTTCACCAAACGAACGTCCAATCAGCGTTGGCTTTGAGGCGGGTTGAGGTGTGACGCAACGAGAAGCGCGACAGTTCAGTCTAAAGAACATGGCGGCTTCAGCCGATGAAACTATATTTACATTGTTTTATTGTTGATTAATGTACACTGTCCCCTTTCAAATAAACAATAAATGAAAATGAAATGAATTTTATCTGCTGTCCGGTGCGTTTCTTCACTTTGTGATTGCACCAAAATATAATACATTTATCCTTTATTTAAACAATAAACAATTTTTTCCCCCATAATGTTATCATGATTGCAACAGGGTATGGCAGGCTGTGTTTATATTTAATTAGTTTGTCTAAATATGTATTTTACATATCTGAAATGTATTTTTTCCTTGTAAAAATTAAGATTTCAAACAAAATGACAATCTTTATATCTAAAATAAACATTCTGGATGCCTTAAAATGAATTTCAGGTCCATTTTTGTATTGTTATTGATCATAATCTATCTATATATTTATATCATATATATATATATATATTATTTTTTTTTTTTCTTAAAGGCAGGGTTATTATACTGGGCTATTGCACAGGATATTTATCTATATAACTATTCAACATATTCTCACCGCCCAATCTCAGATACTCTAGGGGAGGAAACACAGGTAAGTGACCATGATAAACTGATATAAGATTATCTGTGTTGGTCACTTACCTGGTTTACCAGTCCAGACCACGAGTGTCCCCAGTGCTGCAGTCCCAGAGGTTATGCTGGAAGCTGATCCTGGTGAGGGATCCAGAACAGACAGGAACAGGCAGGATCCAGATCAGGCAGGAGCAGAAACAGGCGGCAGGATCCAGACTTCCAGGCATCCACAGGCTCCCAGGAGGGTTCAGAGTCTGACTGGGACCAGAAGCATGACCAGGTGGTCACGCACAGGAGCAGACAGGATCAGGTGCAGACAGGCAGGCACAGTGGAAGAGGGTAGCCGAGACAGGACGTGGAACCGGAACTTTAAGCAGGACTTTAAACTGGTCTCCTCCCTGGAGCCAGGCTTACTGGATAAAAACTGAACCCCCCCACATAATGAGCCAAAAACACAGAGGACTCCACGGGGGAGGAACAGTGGACGATCAGGAGACGAGACAAACACTAAAACCCTCTTTCCACACTGTTAAAAAAGTAAATGGCAATTGTTGTTCTAACACACAATTGTATTGTAATCTGACTCAGAAATATAAATTTGACATCTAACAAATAAATACACGTTTGCCCAACTCAAATTCTCAGAAGTTGGTTTAACAAGGAGTTTTAAATCGCCTATACAAGATTTTTTGAGTTCCCTCAACTGTAAACTCATGAGCATGCGCACTGCTCATTTTCATGGACACGCCTACTACGGTACGGGGTTTCCTATCCCTTTCTGCAAGAGCGCAGCCTTTTTCCCACGCCTTTGTGAAGATTGGAGGACTTGAGATTTTCAGGTAAGCTAAGTTATTTCTGTAAATACGATTTCATAGAACACTTTTATTCAAAGAAACGAAGATTTGGTCGGTGAATTAACCAGAGTCGTATATTTAGTGTATTCCCGCGGGATGGGAGTCAACATGAATATCACGTGATTGGGACGGTACAGGACTAAATATCAACGGGAGCGGGAGTAAATCAATAGCAGGTACAATAAACCAGGATCGATGCTTTAAAATAAAATAAAATAAAATAGAAAAAAAGAAATTGTAGAGTCGCCGCCGCCATTTTATAGTTTTTTTCCAAGAAACCTAAACTATAATGCAAGTCAAAAGAACTACACGACCCAGAAGCCAACAGTGCTTCCGGTCTATGTTTTCCGCTCGCTCATACCACAGAAAGGGGGGGGGGGGGGGGGATTAACCGCTACGCGCGAACTCAACCTGGAAAAGTTGGATTTGCAACGCAGAAATAAGGACTTATCTATTAAATCACAGAGCTGACTGGAAAGTTGCAAATATTAAACTTGGCTAGAGTTGAATGTAACGGTGTTAACATTTAGTACCTGCTTGTAAAACGTGTTTCCTGGAATCATTATCCAATGTGCAACAGTGTAATAATACGGCCAATAACTTAGAACTACTTTATTATTTTATTCAGTATTATTTGAACAGTTGTGTTATTTTTTCTGTTTTAACTCACTCACTGAACAACATCTTAACACTTCTCTTTCACTTTTTAATGTCTGGTCGGATAAAAATGAGACAGAGCTGACTGGACCAGCTCTTTCCAGTCCCCGAAATTAACATAATTTCACTCTGAATTTTTTAAAAAAGCTGAGAGGTCTGTCCAAGAATGTGTTTAATGTTTGGTGGATGTATTGGTTCTGATAGTAAACCCTAATTAGTTTGTGGATATTTCTTGCAAAAGTACAAATACTAATATGCTTGTACAATATTGAACTTTTTCTTTTACAAAACTGAGTTTTTGAGCTAATGAAGTACATTATCTAAATTATGAAAGTATTGCCTTTATGCACTTTATTAATTAAGTAGTTAAGTTTCAAAAATTTGAAACATAAAAGTAACTTTATTGTTTATGTGAAACAATGACTTAATAAATTAGTAAAAGGCAACATTTACTTTTTTATTAAACTAAGCTAGGCATGGTCTGTTTCCTTGTTTTTTTACTTTTATTATTATTATTATTTATCATTATTCCACTTACCTTAACTGGCTTTTACTACAGCCAAAAAACAGGAACTTAAATAAGAAAATCAGGTTCAGTGTATTGCTAGAAATCTTAAAGGCAACAAGAATGGGAGTGGTGCAGGAGCGGGAGTCATTGTGAATGGGAGTGCAAGTAATTATACCAGGAGTGGGACGGGACAGCACTTTTATTTTCTACTCTGGCCCGGGATTGGGACAGGACACAATTTTTTTCTGTGGGAGTGGGACGGGACAGGAGTGAAAATCCACTCCTGTGTCAGTCTCTAGTCTGAACTGATGTGGAGGGAGCGGTAGGTCTAGATTTAGACTACATTTTAGGTTGTTGATACATACTGGCCATTCAGTATTTAATTTCTTGCTTCACTTAATTTGATTGTTTTGTCATTTGTGAAATTCATATCTAAATATAACATGCACTTAAATAATTACTGTAGTTATAAAAAGTCCTTAAAGACGGTGATCTTCATGCAAAAAGCTCATTCATTTACTTGGGTGTAGGCCTATGTCGTTGCTACGGAAGAGGATTAGGGCCACTGAAAAAAATTTTTTTTACTGATTTTTAAATTTTATTTCAGTTTAGTGTGGGAAAAAAGTCAGAATTCTGACTTTTTTTCTCATAATTCTGACTTTTTTTCTCATAATTCTGACTTTTTTCTCAGAATTTTGACTTTATTTCTCAGAATTCTGACTTTATTTCTCAGAATTCTGACTTTTTTTGCTCTGAATTCTGACTTTTTTGCTCTGAATTCTGACTTTTTCTCAGAATTCTGACTTTTTCTCAGAATTCTGACTTTTTCTCAGAATTCTGACTTTTTGCTCTGAATTCTGACTTTTTGCTCTGAATTCCGACAATAAAAAAAGTCAGAATTCCGAGATCAAAGTCAGAATTCCGAGAAAAAAAGTCAGAATTCTGAGAAAAAAAGTCAGAATTCTGACTTTATTTCTCAAAATTCTGACTTTTTTTCTCAGAATTCTGACATTTTGCTCTGAATTCTGACTTTTTGCTCTGAATTCTGACAATAAAAAAAGTCAGAATTCTGACTTTTTTCCCATGTTAAACTGAATTAAAATTTAAAGATCAGTTAACTTTTTTTTCAGTGGCCCTAATCTTCTTCCGTACATTGCTCATTTCTGGCTGCAGAATGTTTAATTACTTCAATACCTTGTCACTCACTAACAAGGAATTGACCTAGGAAATGAAGGAATATTAATGGAAACAAGCAAAATGTATTCTAATGATTTGTGTGTGATTCTGTTTCAGGAAGGGACTTCATGCAGTGCAAGTCGTGCAAGTTTTCAAGCTCCTCCCAGGAAATTCTTCTTAAGCATTGTAGGCTTCACCACGGTCACGGTACACATTGGCCTTGCATTTACACAGATTGTGTATGTGTATTTAAAACATCTGGTGCATTACGGTCACACCTCTCAAGATCACACACATCCACTGTAAATTCACCCAATTCAACATTTCAATGTGAATTGTGCGACTTTAAAGAGATTTGCAGCGAAAAGACTTTTTGGAACCATCTAGCAAACCATTTAAGGAATCGAGAGACTGTGCAATGCCCCATTCTAAGATGCAATTTCAAAACCAACATTCGCCCAACCTTTACTTCTCATAGAAGCCGTAATCACAGACATTGTACTCTTAAAGATTTTCGAACTGTATGTAGAGGCAACACTGACATTGAAGCAAGTGATGGGGAACTGGATGATTGTGAAGCAGGGGTGTCATTGGAGAGTGGTGTAGATTACGTTGATGAGATTGTGGATGGTGAAACACTTGAGCACAAATTAGCTAGTCTCTTTTTGTGTATGATAACAGAGCTGCATATTAGTAGGCACGCTACACAAAAAGTTGTAGAGGAATTGCATAACATTCTGTCTTTTGCTAGCAATCAGACTTTGAGAAGTGTGAAAGAGATACTTTTGAGGCATACAATTGAAGTAGATGATTCAGTTCTGCATGAAATATCTGATGCCATTGTCAAGACTAATCCACTCTTGGTAACAACAGCTGCAAAAGGCTGCCTCTCTACAGATTATCGCAGGACTTTATATTTTCAGGAGAAGTTTTCTGTAATAGAACCAACAGAGTATCTTTTTAACCCAGTTCTCAAGAATTCATTTGTGTATATATCAGTCCCAAAGGTGCTTAGAAGTCTACTTAATAGAGAAGATTTTTCAGAACAGGTTGTATTTGGTCAAGATTCTTTCCCTGGATCCTACAAGTCTTTCCAAGACGGAACGCACTTTAAAGACAATAAGCTTTTGGGACAGCAGAACAAATGCATCAGTCTGGCATTATACACGGATGATTTTGAAATCTGTAATCCTTTGGGCACCTCTAAAAAGATTTATAAGATAACTGCAGTCTATTGGGTTCTTCTAAATTTACCTGCCAAGTTCCGATCTAGCCTTACATCAATTCAGCTTGCTCTTCTTGGTAGAAGTGATGATGTTAAGGCGTATGGTTATGAAAAGTTTCTTGAACCCTTGATTAAAGATATACGGTGTATAGAGGAAGAGGGACTATTTGTTGAAGTGCTTGATCAGTTTGTCAAAGGTACTGTGTTTTGTGTGTGCGCAGATAACCTTGCAGCACATAGTCTTGCGGGCTTTTCTGAAAGTTTTAATGTTGAGAAGTTCTGTCGGTTTTGTTTGATAAGCAAGCACCAAATTGCTACGACTCATGTTGAGGATTTCGAGTTAAGGGCTGTTGATGGACACAGTGCAGTTTTGGAAGAGCTCGGGCAGAACGAAGCACTCAAAAGCATTGATGGTGTCAAAAATGAGTGTGTTCTTGAGAAGCACTTACAATTCTTTCATACAGTGAATGGCTTTCCTCCAGATATACTGCATGATTTTTTCGAAGGGGTCATCCCTTATGAATTGTGTTTGTGTTTGAAAAATTTGATTGCTAAAGGTTTTTTAACGTTGGATGTGCTTAATAACAGCATAAAGTCATTTCCATACAAAAACACAGACAAAGTAAACAAACCAAAACACATTTCGAAGGGAAGCTTCAAGAAGGGTACGGTTGCAGGCAATGGACATGAGAATTGGGCTTTGTTGCGCTTACTTCCTTTTTTAATTGGATGCAAGATACCCCAAAATGAACCTGCTTGGATGATTTTAATGGACCTCAAGGACATTGTTGAAATAGTTGTTTCACACAAGCTCTCAGAGGCAGCTCTGTGCCGTCTGTCTTCCAAACTGCAGGACCACCGTCAATTGCTTACTGATACATTTCCAGAGTACAAACTTAAACCAAAGAACCATTTCATTGAGCATTACCCACATCTAATGCGTTGTTATGGCCCTCTGGTGGAATTATGGACGATGCGATATGAGGCGAAGCACAGCTTTTTTTAAAAAGTGGTTCACGACACAAACAACTGGAAAAATGTGCTGCTTACTCTCTCCATGAAACACCAGCAATTGTTGGCCTACCACCTGGATAGCCCTAACCTTTTCAAGGAAAAGCTCATTGTTGAAAGAGTGAAAGTGGTCACGGTCTCAGAATTGGATACCACACTGAGGTGTGTAATTGAGAGGAAGTATCCACATCTTGATAGTGTGAGTCTTTCTAAATCCGTTCAGCTACATGGCACACAGTATGCAGAGGGCATGGTTTTATCTTCCGGCCAGTGCAATGACCTTCCAAAATTTCACAAGATTTCAATCATTCTGATAAATGCACAGGAAGTGACGTTTATTTGCCGAACACTTGTTTCAAGGTACATTGAACATTTACGATCTTATGAACTTGTTGAAAGCCAACTCTCTGAAACTGTTGCCTTGGATCCAGATCTGTTGATAGACTATCACCCTCTAGAACAATACAAAGTTGGTGGGAAACTGATGGTGACCACAAGGACATTCATCCTCAACTAAGCCATTAAAAATGGTATGTTGATGAGTCACTGTTATTTCAATTTAAATGTGTTCTGTGTTTAAATTTAACATTACCATTGCAGTTGTGTTGTTAACTTCAACATTTACCCCCCTCTTTACAGACTTTGTTACTTCGAGTAGTTATCTCTCCAAAAGAAGCCCGTCGAATCCTGCTCACAGAGATACCAGCATCTGTTGACCAGCTCATCGATGTACTTAAAGACAAAATCCAGTTGGAAGGTGATTTCTCACTCCAGTTCGAGGACCCCGATTTTTCAAATGCATTATGTCAGTTGACTCAAATGTCAGAGTTGCCAGATGGGCGTGCTGTCTTGCACATTGTGTGGAACACTGGGGAATCTCCCCTCAGCCGATCTGATAGCCATTCCATTGGCTCAGTGTCCTCCCTTGACACAGCCAGCTTACACTCTGAGGACTGCAATGAGGCGCAGAGGAGCCCTACTCGTTCCTTCCAGGGGAGCTTGTTCGAGTCCCTCCCTTCTACCTCCTCAAGTTCTGTCCAGGGGAGCTTGTTCGAGTCCCTCCCTTCTCCCTCCTCAAGTTCTGTCCAGAGCAATACAGATTCTCCCCAGACCCCTTTAAGGCGTACAACTCAGTGGCCAAATCCATTCACAATCCCTAAATTTGCGTATGATGTTGAGCTGCGATTGCGTAAGGGAAATTACATATATGAAAGAACACAGAAGCGCCTCATTCTTACAGGAGATATGAGATCTGACATTGTGAATAAACTTTGGCAGAGTATTTTTGATATCAGAGGCGCCTATCCCAGTAAGGATGAATTAGTGTCTGTTGCGTCTGGTCTTCTGGTCAAGTATCCTTGTCTAAAGGAGACAGATAGTGTAACTGGCTATGATGGATGGCTGAAGAGCCTTCATTATAAGATGGGCAACTTCAGGGCAAAGTTGCGTCGTGCAGGCTGCAATGAGGTGATGGTGAATACAAAAAGAAAGGGAGAGGATGGAGTGGCTGCTCCGTTCATCCTGAAAAGGGCCAAACGTGGAGAGGTCAACCATGTTCCAGAATATCCAGACAATCATGATGGTACCACTCTTGAGGAGGAAAGGCTTGCACTGATTGAAGAAATGAAGAAAAGGAAAAGGAACATGGGTCTGATTAGGCAGAAGATGGAACTGACTTTCTCCCATCGTCGGAGAGAAATCGTAGAAGTGCAGCCTATGGTGTCAGAAGTCCAAGAACGATGGCCTGCACTGTTTTCTCATGAGGAGGTATGGATTTCCTTGTGTATTTGTGTACTATTGCTCATTCCTGTTGCTTTAGGCTGGCATGACTACCACATTAAGCCCTGACATGGATATTATAATTAAAGACTGTTTTGTTGCTTGTGTCCAGATATCTGAAGAATTTTATCGAATCACCAGCAGAGACCTCTGGGCAACCTGGAATGCATCCCTCGACAACTACGTACCTCGCCTGATAAAACTGTACCGAGCCAGAAAAGCAGCTTCTGGTCCAGATATGGAGATGTTGCTGAATAAACTTGATGAAGAGGTGGGTAAAGTGCCCCAAACTAAACTACATGCAAATACAAAAATGACTTTAAAGCGATAGTTCTGTATTTTTGACATGAATCTGTATGGCATCCCCATCACCAGCGGCATGCAATCACACTGACTTACCCCTGGCAGCGTCCTGTGAGCAGAGTTATCGTCCAGTTTTGGTCAAGCCGAAAGTAGTCCTGCAGGTTTTTAGGAACAGCGAAATAAAACTTTTCTCTTCCCAAAACATTATGTGTCCAAAAGAGTGATATTTTCGCATCCCAAAAACATTGTAGTGGAAAAAGTCCCACGTCGTTATCAATTGGTCCTATTTTCTCTCTGTTCGTATCAGTGCGCGCCGTCATTCAGACAGCGAGCCCAACAACAGCCATGTCTCCTTCCGCGGCGGAGGGAGACATGGCTGTTGTCAGGTTCTCGCTGTCTGAATGACGGCACGCACTGATACGAACAGAGAGAAAATAGGACCAATTGATAACGACGTGGGACTTTTTCCACTACAATGTTTTTGGGATGCGAAAATATCACTCTTTTGGACACATAATGTTTTGGGAAGAGAAAAGTTTTATTTCGCTGTTCCTAAAAACCTGCAGGACTACTTTCGGCTTGACCAAAACTGGACGATAACTCTGCTCACAGGACGCTGCCAGGGGTAAGTCAGTGTGATTGCATGCCGCTGGTGATGGGGATGCCATACAGATTCATGTCAAAAATACCGAACTATCGCTTTAAATCATCAAAATCAAACATTGACATTTGCTGTTTACAGATATTCTTGATTTGAGTCATCTTGCTGCGTTACAATGTGTTTGTTTGTGTGCACATGTTCACAGACAACAGACATTGTGCGTCATCGAAGGACAGCAGCACTGAAAGGCCTTCCCATTTTTGTTCGTGACGATGCATCACAGTTCTATTTGAAGTGTGTGGTAAGTCAAGAGCAATTTGGTGTGATTACTATAGTTTTGCAGTGCCTTTTTAATATCTCCCCAGAGACTGGAAAAGTGTTGGCTGGTAGTCTTGTGACTAAATGTGACTGTAAACAACTAAATAAGGATATGTGTTCTTTAATGGGTGACAGCAACTGTTACAGGGTGTCTATCGCTAAAAGATGTCGCTGTGTCTGATTTTTACCATCAGGACACAGACCCTGAAGAATCGGTAGTTGCAGGAGTGCCCGTTGCAATACTGACTGTCTATGTTGATGATGATGCTGCCGCATGGACAACAGTGACTGACATCGCCATCATCTTGGAAGGGGCAGTAATACTACACAACTTACCTGACCTCGCAGCTGCCTTCGCCTGCCTGTTTGGCCTTTTGTACGCAATGGACATAAACTATCCAGAGCAGATGAGGTACACCTTCGAGGCTATCCAGAACATCTTTTTCGAACTTGGATCAAGATGCTCACAGCGCACGCGATCCTTGAAAGAGAAGCTGTTGCTGTGAAGCCTGTGTATGATTGACACTCACCTGGACATCAACACGCATGCACTCACACACAGCTTTGTCATAACTCCTGCATGAACACACACACAAAGCTCTTCTTTGCCGACTACCACATTAACAGGCCTGTACACACACATTGTTCTCCAACAACTTCTCCATGAACACACACACACATATAGCTCTTTGCTAACCACTACATGAATAGGTCTGTACACACACATTGTTCTCCAGAAAACTTCTCCAAGAACAAGCATGCTGCACAAGCACACAGAGAGGAAAGGAGCAGTTCTTAAGAAGCTCAGTTCACAGGGCACTAAGCTCCTCTGTGCTTTCTTCTAGAAGCTAAGAAAATTCACTGAGTTCATTGTGGGTATATTTTTCTAATATATGTGGTTTATCTTGTTGTTGTTGTTTTGTATCTCTATATAAACAGCTTGTTAGGTTCCATTACCAATGTGAACACACACCTGCTACTCTGCTCGCCAGCATAGCTCTCATACACACTGTTCTCTCACTGTTCTCTCACCCCACACACAGATAGACAGAAGAGCAGTTCTCAAGAAGCTCAGTTCTCAGGGCGCCAAGCTCTTCTGTGCTCTCCCCATAGCAGTTCAACATGTGGTTTGTTTGTATCTGTTGATATAGTGCAATAAAAATTTTGTATTAACAAAATTTTTTGTGTGTTGAATGATGGGTAGTGAGTTGATAGAACTGAACTTACAGATAACACTACAAAATCTGAGTTTGTAGAACTCAAAATCTATATTTCAAACTCATAAAACAAAGTTGATAGAACTCAGAACTTAAAGGTGAAACTGAAAAAACTAAGTTAGTGGAACTCAAAATGTATGAGTAAAACTAAAAAACCTAAGTTAGTAGAACTCAAAATATATGAGTAAAACTAAAAAACCTAAGTTAGTAGAACTCAAAATATATGAGTAAAACTAAAAAACCTAAGTTAGTAGAACTCAAAATGTATGAGTAAAACTAAAAAAACTAAGTTAGTAGAACTGAAAATGTATGAGTAAAACTAAAAAACCTAAGTTAGTAGAACTCAAAATATATGAGTAAAACTAAAAAACCTAAGTTAGTAGAACTCAAAATATATGAGTAAAACTAAAAAACCTAAGTTAGTAGAACTCAAAATGTATGAGTAAAACTAAAAAACCTAAGTTAGTAGAACTCAAAATTTCTATGTAACACTCCAAAAACCTAAGTTGGCAGAACTCAAAAATCTTTGTAAACTCAACCACAGTGAATTTAAGTAAGGAAAACTCAAAAAACCAAATGCATCACGTTGCCTAGAAAATGTAAGTTCTGTCAACCTCTATTTTTTTTTCAGTGCACCAGCTGCTAGGATCCAGGACATGAACCATGAAATAAAACTGAACAGAAAGACTGACAGCACGATAAGCAATGATCTGGCACTGAATGCTCAGGCTGAACTGAATATAAACCAGAGGAAACAGGTGAGAGGAATAAATTATAATTGAGGCAGGGAGGGAAAAACGACAGGTGAGAGGAATGACTAATTAAGGGAGAGCAAACAGGCCAGATTATGACATTGGATTAAAACACACGGATTGGCTATTTACTGGACTTCAAAAACAATATACTCCTTCCACAGGCAAAACACATTTATCTAGGCAAACGTCTGGGTTAAACTAAAAGCTCAGGTCTGATTGTTCCAGAATCAAACAGCTGACTTTCAGCCAGGCTGTGTGCAGCTTGTGAGATCACAGCTTCATTCTCCATCCCAGACTAACATGAAGGTCTGCTCACTCTTAAGGACTTCACACCAAACAGACTAGGCCTGTTTCAATGTGGAAGCTTCGGGATCAAGAATCACTGTCCTGCTTGCTTCAAATTTTACAGCTAGTTTCACAGTCCATAGTTTTAAATCCACAGTCAGTAAAACCCACTGGTGAAGAAGTGTGACTGATGTTTCCATCCAAGGTTGATTTAAAACATTTTCTTTGTATTTGGTCCAGTTATCAGTGGGACAGATGTTTCCACTAATGGCAGCGTGTGTGTGTTGTGTTGTGTTGGATCTGGAATGGTTTGGATCTCTGTGCTGTTTCTTCACTTTTCAGTTGTTTTCCTTCTCTTTTCCTTAGTCTTCCCTCTTGTTTCTGCTCTGCCAGCTTGTTAAACTTAAGTACGTGAAAATTTTAAAAAAGCATTAGAAAAATGCTTTGGACTCTGCATGCACCACTTTTCTCCCTCTGAAAAGCAAAACATTAACCAATAATCATTCAAGAAAACTAAAAATATGACCAAAACAAGACAACTACTTTTTAGAGAGACTAAGATTTCATCGTCATCTACAGATAATACATCGGGTAAAAGTGAAAAAACTTTTCTGATTCCTGATCCTCCACGGACGGGTTGGTCGTTGGATCGCCAACTTGAAGAGGGAGGATTTGCCATCGAACTTCTGGCCAGAGAAAAAACCCGTAATATGTAGCCAACATTTGGAAGAAGAATGTTTTCAAGATGACTTGGATAATAGCGCGTTGTGACAAACACCAGATACAGCACTGGGACTTGATCAACAGCCGATACCGCACCGTCTAACACGTCTGTATTGGTAAAAATTTTACCGTTGTAATTTTCATGCATTCTCAGTTATTAGTTGTAAAATAAAAGCGGTCGCCAGCTATCGGTGGGTTTTTAGAGGTTAAAGTACTTCCAGAAGTTTTAATTCTGAATATAACTGAACTTTTCCTTTAAGACAGGGGTGTCAAACTGGTCCCAGAAAGGGCCGTGTGGCTGCAGGTTTTCTTTCCATCCTAGCAATAGCACACCAGACTTCAATTCATCATGTGAAGACTGGACTCTTGATGAGATGACTGGATTTTGGCGTGCTATTGCTTCATTGGAAAGAAAACCTGCAGCCACACGGCCCTTTCTGGAACCGGTTTGACATCCCTGCTTCAAGATGTGTCTATGCACCTTGTCCCTTTTCAAACTTCTGTTGTCACACTATGAGCACCCTGTAGGTGCCCTGTCATGGCAGATTAGCTCATGGTCCGTCATGCTTTTATATAGTGTTGCGCAGATAATAATGTAAAATAATTGCCATTATGGCTTTGTCAAGCTGCTGCCTACCTTTATGAAGCAGAAAAAAAATCTAATACAAAGTGAATCCAGTAAAACTTTCTCTCAGAACTACCAGGAGTGGGTGACAATAGTTGAATAAACTTATGGCTCTCAAAATGGTATCTGTGCCCTATTTGTTGGTACTCGCCGATACCGATACCACCATTTTAGGGCAGTATCGGGGCCCCGTCCGATACTGGTATTCGTATCGGTGCAATACTATTTTTATATTATGATTGCCATGGTTCTCTGGCACTGAATCCTCCTCATCTATTAGAGCAAAGTACTGAGTCCCTTTTCAAGATAAACTTAGTACAATCTATTTCTAAAGACCAGGGCTATATACCAAAGATTTTATTGGATCTATGCCCCCCTAAAAACAAAAGATGGTATACCCAAAAGATATTTTAGGTTTATCAAACCACATGCACAAAGAAAACCAAGCAGCTTTACTTTCTGAGTCACACCATTGGGCACATGGCTCTATCTCACGATTCGCCCTCTACGTGCCACAAATGGTCCATGCAAAGCACCACATTAATTTTATTCTCCATTTAAATTGTCTAGCTGATCAATGATTTCATGGTTACCAATGGCAACCAAAATGAAAAGAGCAGAAACTTGCAGTTGGAGTTTAAGGTGAAGCTTCAGATAAAACACCTGCCATGAGCTGGGATGTTGGGTCCAGCCTGTCAGTCTCTCCTGCACTGACCCTGTTTAGCACATAGATCTAAAAGCAATCGTCTTGGATGCTTGATCAGCTCGTAAGCCAGTCATCATCATGGGCCAGGGAACCTTGGGGATCTTCTATCTTCCAGTTTTTATGTCCTCAAGCAGAGCCAATGCATACATGCCACACTATTAGGTGTAAGTGTCACAGGAGTGTTAATATGTTTACAGCGATCAGTGGGAACGCCTTATACCTTGTTAAAATTTTGTGTGTCTGACTCATCCTGTTTATCATCAGGGAGGGAATTGTTTAAATATTATGCGTGCTTTGATTAGGGGTTTTAGTTATTAATAGGCCACTTTTAACAGTTTGAAAGGTCCTCATGTACAGTTATGGTTCACCGATATGAGGGAGGCTTATGATTTATGAATTTATAACTAATGTTCTATATAAGGAGAAGTTAAATATTTGAGAGGTATTATTCAGCCATCTGTGTTACCATTTTCTCCTTCCCTCCAAAATATGCGTCTACATAGGTCAGCATTGGCATGGGGAAGCTCAGGTTGAAACAAACTACATTTATTTTTAGATAGATCCCAACCTTTGGATGGAAAGTGATGTATGCAAGTAACAGGCCTAACCCTAAGCTTTATAAATCAGACCCCAGATGCTCCAGACAGGATGTCAGACATTGAAAGACAAAACAGATGGGGTATTTTTCAAAACAAGAGAGGACCCTGACCCCGATGCATCAATGTAAATAGCTGCACATATCAGGATGGATTATAAAGCTAACACTATGTAAACCAGGGGTGGGCAATTCCAGTTCCTGGGGGCCGGAATCCTGCAACTTTTAGATCCATCCTTGCTCCAACACACCTGAATAAAATGGCTCTGTTACCTCCTTAGTATGCAGTCACTTCCTCCAGAGTTCTCTCAATCATCTAATTATTTGATTCAGGTGTGCTGAACCAAAGACACATCTAAAAGTTGCAGGATAGCAGCCCTCAGGAACTGGATTTGCCCACCGCTGATGTAAACCCATAATGAGGATCCAGCTGATGCCTTTTACTAATTATTGGGACCCTGTAAATATATCACAGGTAGTTTGCATTTACTAAACATATCCAGTAAGTTTCCTTTAAACATCTTTTCCGTAGGCCACCAGTATCGTACGGGTGGATTCTCCTACCAGCGTTTTAACATTTATGTCTGCAGAGTTTAGCAAACAGTGACCAGTTTAAATCTGGGTTTGGCTTTAGATCTAGATTACAGAACAAAATCAGGTTTTTGTGGCTAAACTGCAGAGAAGAAGTCTGAAAATCAACTGTCAGTTGATTGTTTTGAGTTAGTTTGAGCTCATAGGGGAGTAAGTATCCTGTTTAAAAATCTGTGAAGCAACATTGTGTCCATGTTTATTTTTGCATGGTTAGAGCTGCTGGAACAGTTTTGGAGGAATTTAACCAAAGGAAAGGAGAGTGTGATGACAGCAAAGTAAAGCAGCTGCAGAGTTCAGTCAAAGCTGAGTGATGTGGGACCCATTGTTCCGTTGTCCTGTATTGACCTACTGACCTGACACCTCACTGTTTGACGTTTTTCATCAGTGATCTGATAATAGGCTCTGATTTACTGCCTTTGATCAAACTGACCTCTGACCTCTGAGACCAAGACATGTAATTAGATCAGAGACATATTAGGTAATGACCTTTACCTCTTTCCTCTTGAGCATGACCTTGTCTTACGTAGCTTTGCACCTTATTTCAGCTCCTGTGCCCACTGTGAATGAAAGCAGCCCATTACAGGACGTGTTTTCGAGCCCAGAGTTAGCTGCCAGCAACCAAACAATCTGTGTCCAAGAATCCAATGTGCTGCGCTTTCAGAGGAAGGGATAAACAGAGCA